AAAAAAAAAAAAAAGGGGGTCACGAAGTTACTTTAGGAACGTACATTCGATTGAACCCTCAAAGATTCATCGATCCACTTTCTACCCATCAAACGTTATTCCTGTCAAGGTCCTGTTTGAAGCAACAGATATTAAGTATCGAGCACTTGGGCTCGAGATGTATCATATAGAAACATGCGAGTTGATCGAAAAATTGAGAGAAAGAGGGAGAAAACAATGATTATATTCATTTCGTCATTGCAATTAATTGTAAAATATTGAAAAAATTGTTGAATAGAATTATTTTTGTTTGATATTTTAAAAAAGATTTTTTTAAAATGTATTATTAATTTTTGTTTCTTATCTACGATCTTTTTCTTATATTTTATATTTTTTCTACTTTCCCATTTTTTTTATAAACTTAAATGAAACTTTTAACGAAAAGATAAAACAAGAAATAGTATTGTAAAAAGTATCGTAGAACATACTTAATTTAGCGAAATAAAAGATTTCACTTTCTTCAAATCTGAAATCTTCTTCATGAATTTTTATAAATATTTTAAACTGCATTGACGGTAAAATCGAGCTATATTCAGTAGTGTACATACTCATTGTTGCAAGTGCGCAAAAGTATATTGTGTCTTTTGAGAATCAAGAATGCAAGGGTAACGCATGCGGAACGGCGAAATAAGGACCAGTAAGTAGAGGATATCAAAACCGGGTCAGACCAGAGCGGTCTGCTTCTGTTTACATTTGTGCCACTGTGTCAAGGTAACTTAGATATATATATATATATATATATATATACAAATCAAGAGCAGTTGATTAGGGACAAGAGAAAAAAAAAAAGAAGAAAGAGAATTTCGTCAATAGTTTCTGTCGTCATATATTATCCACTTGGAAGAGAAGTAGAATCTCAAAATGAATTTGATGAAAAATTAATTAAAATAAAAAAAAGAATATTTAATGATTTGAATCTTTATATTTAAATCGTGTGAACATAGATCTTTCAGAATTATTTCATTGTACTTTCAAAAAGTACAATGTTATTAAAAAAAAAATTTTCTAAAAAATTTACATTACATACTATTTTTAAACTTTTTAAAATTATTTTTTTAAATACTTTAATCGAATATTAATTCTTTCTTTTATTTTTTTACATCGAACATAAATGTTTCGAACAATTACTTTTGAGCGAAATTTCGAGTGATTTTCATTACAATGACAAATTTATCATAACTATGACAATGGTGGATTGGTTATCGCAGAAAAATTTATACAAGTCCATTTATCGTTAAAGGCAATTCACGAAGTTACGAGATCGGAATTCTTGACTCTCCATGAATAATTCACATGTGAGTTTCGCTTGTTGTTGGCAGCTCGCTTTGGCTTATTTTATTTCACAAATGGTGTATCTAAAGAGCGTCAGAGATGATCATTCTTGATTTTCCAAAATAACAATGTTACTCGTACAATAAACATTTCGATCTTGTTAAATAATTTTTTATTCTCTTTTCTCTCTATTAATTTCTCTTGTACATCTTTATTTTAAAACATCGACAATATTATTATTACCATAACAACATCGATTTTTAAATACCTCTATTTTGCATTTATATGTATAATGATTACGTAAATGATTACATAAATTTAATATTTGAGATGCGTAACTTTTTCATTCGATAGATTTTTAGGGATTAAACGTGGTTAAACAAATATTTTCGTTATCCATATTTACGAGTGTTTATGCCTAGGTATTTATCGAAGTCTCTATCAATTTTATTCAAATTTTATATTGCTCGTGAATAATAAAAATTTCTATGTTACATGTCAT